TAACCCTCCTCCATCAGCAGGTGAACCCTAACCCTAACCCTAACCCTAACCATAACCCTAACCCTCCTCCATCAGCGGCCGCCTGCAGGTGAACACAAACCCGCCTGAGCCAGGACAGCCTGGGCCGAGGGTTAGGGTTAGGGTTAGGGCCGAGGGTTAGGGTTAGGGTTAGGGCCGAGGCTTTCTGAGGGTTAGGGTTAGGGTTAGGGTAGGGCCGAGGCATTCTGAGGGCAGGGGGGTCACAGGTATGCAGCTAACCCTCTCTGGGAGACTTGGCAGGCAGCAGTTTGTTTCAGAAATGCTGCTCATGGGGTGGTAGAGCCGGGTTAGGGTTAGGGTTAGGGTTAGGGTTAGGGCCGAGGCTTTCAGACTGCTCTGGCCCTCTCTGGGTTAGGGTTAGGGTTAGGGTTTATACTCCGGGAGTTTCTGTTGCAAATGTTGTCCTCTCCGTTTGAACTTTGTGCCAAAGAGCGACAGCAGAGAGGCTGTGCCCTGTGCTCCCAGGGTTATGTGGGAGCAGGAGGCTTAAGCATGAAGTCTAAAGATGTCAGCTCCTTTACCACTCCTGGTTTGTTTTGCTCTTTTTCATTTTGTGTTTGATCAATGAAGCAAAAAGCTGTTCTGAGGGACACCGCACTTCCTCCATTCATGTTTATGCATTCAGCAGCTTTTATCCAAGGACTCTCCTTTCATTTATAAAGGATTCTTCAGTTTTAAACTACTGGAAATTAAAGGAGTTTTGAACAGAATAAACCTCATTTTACAAGCAGAGAGGGAGATTACAATCTGAACTCTCTTGACCAATGAGAGTCATTCTCCCTGTATGTAAACTAGCTTAGTGATGTTTAAGAAGAAAATACCTGAGAACCTCCCAGTCGCTGTGTAAAGATGTTTTTTCCAGGGTGACAAAGACTTTGTGGACCAGCATGGCTGGTTTTAATGTGAAGTCTGATAAATAACACAGCAGAGCACCCTGCTCCAAACACTCTGAAGCTTCTGATTCTTTTCTTCTTCACTCATGCCTGTGCACACTTTTTCTTCTCTGAGACTTGAGCGTTTAAGTTGAAAGGAAGGAGAATAACATCACAGAGCTCCAGCAGTTTGGCTCAGCACACAGCATCAGGCCTTCCTGTTCCTCCCACAAACTCGTTTCTGTGCCTGATGTTTTTAATGGCTGAATAGAGGAGTGGGATATTTTGGCATGTTTTCACTTGTGAGCAGATGTGAATCACCAGGTAAACAGAAATTATTCCTGTTTTCTGTTCCATCTATGAGATGTCCTTTCACCATCAAATCAGGTCCAGAGACTTAACAACGAAAGCAAAGAGGTCCGTTTGCACACAGGCTGGACTTCTGTTATAAATAGCTATATAAATAATAATTGTCAGAGACTGAAGGAGCCTGACTTCACAGCCTTTCTGGAAGCGTGGGGTTGTGGCTGGTTCCTCTGGAGCAGGATGAGGCTCTGAAACCACTGAGGAGGCTCAGGAAAACACAGCCTGCTGGAGCTGTTTCTTCCAAGCTGAAATCGAGCCATTACTCGTTGAAAGTCCTCGGATATCTTGTTTGGAAAAGTCAAAGGACTGTGTTACGGTCCGTCCAGTAAACCACAGGGACAAAGCCATAAAAGATTAAATTCTATTTATTTTCCTACTATTCTTCCAAAAAAGAACATCAAATTCCAAAATATGACAAAAATGGGCCCAAAAGAAAACAACTAAAGCATACCTAACTATGCTATATTATATATATATAACAAACCAACAACTGACCTCCCACAATGAACACACAGGGGAATTTAAACACAAAGGCTAGCCTACACACACAAGAAGGGATGGGAGATGAGGCAAAGACAAACAGTGTATAAACATAAACAATTAATTTAAACCTAGACTACAAAGTCGGGTTGCAGAGCTGGAGCAACACGCGAGGTTAAACGAGGTAATTATCACAGGCCTCAGGGTGAAACCTCGTTCGTATGCTCGCGCTGTCACTGCAGACGAAGGAGAAACGAATATGGAGATGCAAGCGTCCACGGAGCAACAAGTTACTTCCTTTTTCCAATCTAAAGGAATTGAGCTGGACAATGGGAGTATCGAGGCTTGTTTTCCAATCACGAAGAGAAATGCCGGTGATAGGCAAGCCATCCTGATACGTTTTTGCAACAGAAAACACAAGGCGGCACTGTTGAAAGAGGTTCTTTGTCAATGTTGGACCTGAGCTTGCGTCAAAAATATCAGAGACAAATACATCTGTCTGCGAAGACATGGGGGAAAGGAACCCATACACAATCTTTCTGGGTGCAGTGACTGAGACTGATGTTAGAGAAATAATACAAAACTGCAAAAATAAAACCTCTGCTGACTGGATGGAAATAGATATGAAGACTGTTAAGATTGTTATGGAAGAAATTATTAAACCACTAACCTACATTTGTAACCTGTCCTTTCAAACAGGTACATTTCCAGACAAAATGAAAATAGCCAAAGTTATTCCACTGTTCAAAACCGGAAACAGACACCATTTTACAAACTATAGGCCAGTTTCTTTACTCCCTCAATTTTCCAAAATAATTGAAAAACTATTTACCACTAAACTAGATATCTTTATGGAAAAACACAACATATACAATGACAATCAATATGGATTCAGGTCAAACAGATCAACATCCCAGGCACTACTACAACTCATGGAGGAAATCACAGATTGCTTTGACGATAAAAAAGTGGCAGTTGGGGTTTTTATTGATTTAAAAAAGGCTTTTGATACCATTGACCACAACATATTGCTGACCAAACTAGTAAGGTATGGGATAAGGGGAGTTGGGTTGGATTGGATAAGAAGCTACTTAGGAAATAG